GATTTGCAGAAATTGGGGTGGGTCGACCGTGGTTTGCACGGATTGAGGTCTTATTTTGACTGACTGTGTTGTCTCAAACCTCAGTAATGGATAGTCGAAATCCATGTTCATTTGCAGTGCAGTCAATTGGCTGCATAGTAGCCCCTCAGATCCGTATCGCCGCCATTCTCCGGTAACAATCTGAGCTCTTAGAGTGCCTGTCTCGCCTTGGGTTCCATGTCGATTGGCAAGTCGCAGTTCATCTTTCGTGAATCTTTCCACGGCTTCTTGACTCGCATATGGCGGGAGGTGAACAGTCGGTTTACAGATGCAAGCCAGGAAACCAGGATAACTTTTATTCGCTTGCATATCATAAATCTCCCATTGTCAGTTGTACATTATGTGGACTCGGAATGGCGGTGCACTCCTTGACTACCCGATCGTTGTGGGTATTAACCGATTCAGAGATTCGATCCCGCAAGCAGTCTGTTAGGTAGAGAAAGATAGATAGGTGGTCAAGCGTGATAACGTCCCTTGCATTACGCAAAGGATGTTATCAACGGAAAGAGCATTCACTCAAACAAACTCCGAAAAATCGGACAACAGCTCGACAGGAAATCAGAACGAATCAATCGAAATGAAAAACCAAACGCACAAGTCGCATTGAGAGCCAATCAAATGCGGGGAAGGAGACCGTTACACAAGAGTGATCGGTAACCGATCAATCAGACCATGAACAAATGGTGCTGAGACAGAAAACACTTGAGTTCAGGGAATGCAGACCATATACAGCAACCACATTTTCAAACGGAATATGTTGTTGGGCCTATTCTGGGAATACAGCGGACAGATGAGCGCTCTCTCGATCAAAGCATAATATCGAGCAGATATGGAAGAACTGCCGACCCAATCACTCACTCATGATGTCACTTCCGTTGGTGACGGAAAATTTGCAAACCGACCACCAGGATCAGAAAATAGCTGAGCAAATGGCTTTGTGAATGTCTTTCGAAACGTAGTTTCGTTTCACCTCGGTTATACTAACTAAAACTAACTAAATTGGAATACTGGCTCCAACCATCTGCGTGTTTTAAAAGCCAAATGTGCCGCTACAATGCGTGAAACAACAGCAAACCAGCAGGCGTTCCAATAGTCCACTTTTAATTCCCTCATTCATGTGGCCATGCAATAAGCTCATTGTAGACAGTAACATGTACCCAACAATATTCTGACACGCCTATTCGGTATCCATTAACTTCGTGTGTTGCTTGCTCAACTGATAACTCGCTCAGTACTTGTGCGATTAAATAACTCAAAGATGAACATATTTTTTCCTTTCACAAGAAATGTACGCCATGGACAAGACTGAACCCTGTAACTTTTTATATCCTTCTGATTTCCTTCATCACCAGTTAAACAACGCCGTTTACATTACAACTAACATTCTGAAAATTATGAAAAAATCCATATTTTTGGGGAAATAGTGCAATTGATTTTGCATTTCTACGGCCGTTTGCTGTGCCTTCTTATGTGCGAGAGCGCCACCACACTATATACCATTTAAGCCCAACTGATTTTCCCGTTGACTTGGAGCGGTCCTGGAGACAACGTTTTCATTTATTACACTGGCCACGGTGGGACAACATATGTCACTTTCCCAAGTGGAAAAGTAAGTCTTGATAATTTTGGCACGCAGCTGGTCAAAAGGACGTCAAATTGAGATCGGATTGAATAGGCACATTGATTCCCGTGATTCCTCATAAAACGGAGTTTATAGGTACAAGTGGCCTACGCATCCAACGAATGATGGAAGAGAAGCCACGACGTTCGGACGTCACCCACTGTAAAGTTTGGTAGGCCTCGTCAAGGTGCTATACCGATAACATTATACAGATTTCGTTTTCAAAAGTTCAAGGTTGCTCAACTCAGAGGATTCCGGGCGAATCGTATCTTCGTGTGACGCGTAATAGCAGAACCTCCGGGTAGGCATAACAAAGTCGGAGCTGGATTTCCGTACGGTAATTGGAGTGTAGGAGAGATCCACAAATTGTACAAACCTCAACAGTAGGTACGCGTTCAAAACAAACAGTCCACTTGGACTACAAAAATACAAAGCAAGTGAACAAACAGGCTCCCGCGTGCGACAGTCACACGTGCAAAGTCGGATACAAATGGCCGGATGACCACAAGTCAAATAGGTGAAGTGGTAAAGACAAACCAACCTCAGTTCCTACATTCGCACCAAACACAACAGTGGGGTGGGGTTTACAAATGAGGACATGATGAACGTGGGGCATTCCATCGTAAGCATAAAAGATGACACGATGCCAGCCAAATTCTCCACGTTTATTCAGCACATGCTCCGGTTCTTGTCTTCTACCGGCGCTGATCTCCATTTTATGTTGCCCCATCAGCCACCGACATGAGTGGTCCGGGTCCTCTCCTATCAAAAGTGCAAAATTCGACTGAGTATAAGCCTAATCGCGTCCCTCTATTAAAAATACCTTTCTAATATCTCTTTTAAGAACGCCGCCCGCCGTTTGATTTTGGCAAGCAAGGTTCGTACGAAGCCATCTGGGCTCACCTCACAAATATCTACTACCATTAGAGGCCATTTCTAACTCAGGGCCCTGATAAAGTTGATCGTTTAGGGACACCATGACATTTGGAAGCGCAGTCAAATACAACCCGAGTCAATAACCGGATGCTATGGGAGATACCACTGCTTTGAATTTAATGACAATGTGAGAGCATCTGCCATCCGTTCAATGTATCCTTCTCCCAGGTATGCGCAAAGCACATTATCGTAATTTCCGTGTAAAACACGATCCTTTCACAGTCTTTTTTCAGCTTATTTTGAAGTTTTCTGGCCACCTGGAAGGTATCGGGTAGGGCAAGTGCGTTATCATTCCATGGGAGCGCAGCTGATAGTGCCTACTTGATCGCAGCGCAACAGACGCCGACATCAACTGTGCTCTTGGTCCTCTTAAGGGAGACTAGTGTTCGATGCTGAATTGTCTGCGAATTCCGAGTTGTACAGTCGCCGCAAATGCCTCTGGATGCCCTGACTGCGTCCATATGTACGATGACTGACGGCCTTCTGCTTTGTTCAATTTTTCATCGAGCCAAGAAGTACACAACCGAGTAAGGTTTTTGCAGAAAGCGGCTGTTTTGCCCTTGAGGCGCAGGTTGAAGACCCAGAACGCTTCGGATACGTCACACTCAAAATGGATTCCAACATCTTCTTCTGTCAGTTCGTCGAAGGCAAGTTCCTTAACGTGAGCCGCTTCTTTGTTAGATGAGACAGCTCGCATACGTAAGCTATCAACGACGAATGCCTTGTCAACATCTATCGACTAGCTTTCATCCATTGATGAAATCCTGATGCCATTAGCTTCCGATGTGCATCCCATAGAACCGCCCAGTGTATCAATGGCCATAGATGTGGGTAGCAGCCTTACCCGATTTTTCACCGAAAGGTCCCGCTTTACTGGCGTTATGTCGGACCCAGCATCTAAAAACGCAGGTCTGCCAAGCTTGACAGGAATAACTCCTAGGCGTGCCGGAACCCGACTACCTCGAGTTAGGGCACAAAATATCTCCGCCTCTGAGAATGTCGAGGGTTGGTTTCCGGGTTGTGATGTATGTACCAAACTGTGATGGCCTTCCACAACCTGGCTGACGGCAGTCCTTGGCCATGTGGGTGTCTCGTAAACAGGCAAAGCATACATTATGCTCCCGTATGCATTTACACCTGTCAGTAAGTTTCATAGTCAAAAAGCGCTGGCAACTGGAAATTGGGTGGGGTTGTGAACATAATGTGCAAGCACATGGACGACCGCCTGCCTCTGGCCTGAATTTGGTTAGAAATCTCGCAGAACCATCCCGTCTAAAGGCTTGGTTGGTTGGCAGAATTCGACGTTATTGACGGGCGTCTTATGTCCCCCTCCTGAGCCAGTTGCCCAAACCGACTCCTTGGGTCCGGTCCGACTCCGTTTGGTCTCGGCAACTTGCAGATACCTTATCTGCCACCTTAGCCCACTTGCGCTGCAATGTCGAGGAAAGAGATCGCACAATTCTCCCTAAAACCCCTAGTGAGTGCAAGTCTAACATGTAAAACATCTGTGTCAGCGCAATTTCAGAACTGCGGATTTGTATGCACAAGTCCGACAAAAAATTGGCTGCTCCAGTGGCCTGTTGTGCAAAACGAAACAGGCTTTCTAGTAGACAGCGAGCGATAATATGAGGCTGACCAAAAAGATTGCGTAGAATCTACCGAGCCCTGGAGTATGCCACTTCCGGTGGGAGCATCACACCTTCTTTAATGGCCGCGTTCGCGTCGCCTTGACAGTAGTGGATCAGGTGAAGGAGCCACTGACCGGCGTCCTGCACCTTGCCCTCAATGCATACCTTAATTTGGCGGGTGATCCTCCAGTAATGACTAGGATTATAATCAAAGTATGATATTTCCACCTTTGGTAGGTCCATAGTGGCTGACGTTCGAGTGGCGGAAACGACCGGCTTTGGACCTAAAGATGGCCCTCTGATATGCCAGCATTTCCTAGAGGTTTTTCCTCTCTGCCAATTTTCCACGTTCTCCGTTATTTGTTCCTTTGAGGCCATTGTTCCGCAGACTTCACCTAGTAAGACCTCTTCGGCGTCCAGCTCAATTTTGGATAACTCAGTTTTGCTACGCGCATCTATGAGAGCCCGCTGGAGCTCGACCGTCCTTTTAACCCGATACTCCTGGAGCTGACCAGTCCTTAAGGCTTTCTTGGTTACACTACTTGTACGACCAGATGCACAAAGTGACTTACAAGAAACGGGGCGCGAAGCAAACTGAATTGCAATTATTTCCTCCGCAGCCTCAGTTGTTTTCGCATCCTTCGATACCGTGTCCTTCACAATTGCTCCCAATTGATGACAGCTTTACTACAAACAAGGCGACTTAAGATGTCGAGTACTGCAACGAGTAAACGGTATCCTCGAATGACGCATAATATCAGAACCTCCGGGTAGGCAAAGCACAGTCCTGTACGGTAAGAGAAGTTGGCAAATTACGCAAACCTTGACACTAGATACTCGTCCAAAACAAACGCTCCGCTTGGAAACAAACGGCCGGATGACCTCAGGGACAAGGAGGTGATGTGGTAAGGACAAACAAACGTCAGCTGATATATTCACGCTAAACACAAAAGTGGGGTGGGGAATAAAATTATGGACATAATGAACGCGGATAATTTCATTGTCAACATACGACGTGATACACCGGGGTAGACCTATTTGCACTGTTAGGCAACCGTAGATAGGATAAACAAGGAAGCTGGTCGTATACGGTCACTCTTGGTGCGTAGATAATACGGAGACTA